GAACGCGCCACGGAGTGGAGGGGGGTCGAGAAGAAAAGCGAGGATTCAGGCCGGGAAGTGGCAAATGCCAAGTCGGCGGCAGGCGTTCTGTAAACATCGCACTGTCGCCCAGCAACAAGCTGTACAGGGCGCGCTGCTGCTACGGCTGACGGCCAGGCGGGTGAGCTGGGACGATGAATAGCCGAACAGACATAGTTGTGCTACTGCCGGACATTGGTCACAGGGAAACGGGGGCGAGGAGAAGGGGCTAATTAATTGAATCTCCTCCTGCTTCTTTTATCATCAACCTCGTCCTCTTGTTCACGTTGAGTCAATCTAGTCGTCACTCTTTGCAGCAGCCATGTTTACTTGTTCCATGGCATTAGGTTCTGCCCCGATCGGCTATAGATAGATAGGCTAACAGTAACAGCAGCAATAGAACTTTATTTGATTCGATTTGTACAATGGTAAGTAAATAGTATAGATAATAAGAAGAAGTTTGTTCGCCTATTTAATAATAATAAACAATATATGCCTGTGTAACTGGAGCTACATTGAAAATGTGAGATAATGTAGCACACGATGCGTATACTATAAACGACGTGAGTAAAGACGCCTGCCTCAAATCAAGACTGATTTTATCGTTTGTGCCGTTTATAGGAAGTTTATAAAAGATGTCTGAACATGTAAAGGTAATATGGCAAAATCGATGGACATTACTCGACGAGAAATGTCTGAATCTATTCAACTACCAGCAAAGCAACCACCCAACAGTGTCCGGCCTACGCCCACAACCAAAGTGAAAATGTAGGATCTAGTAACGCCAAGCCACAGTCGTGCATATAAGCTAAACAACTCGTGTTATGATCGTGAATGCGTCTGATTCTGCTCTGCATACTCGGTGGTCATCAAACTATGCTCCGAAAACGCTTTACGGCAGGTACTCAGTAGCCACGATTCTACCTCCTTCTAAATGATCAGACACTGCATGTAGGACGCGGTATTTTTGCGTCGAAAATATCACGCTGTTGGAGAGCTTTAAACTGTGAGCAGGCATGCTGTGCGTGACAAGTACGCCTTTTCGAACACGGTATGCCTGTGACAACACATGCAGATAGCGACATCTGACATAATCTCACGGCATACCTCACGCGACTACTATTAAAAGTCACTTTAGAATGGAAAAATAGCTTCGCGCATTCCCTGTCGCCGCTGTCCGTTATGCTATAAGGATTCAAATGGATGCAAATCCAAAACAAAACGCGAGATATATAAGAGAAATGACAGGGTCCAACCGCTGGAAACTGACGATTCGGCGACAGAAAAGTATATATAACTACGTTCCGTTTGTATTTATGTAATATATACGTCTGCTTCGCTCGTCTGTGCCGAACGACGGGGTACTTGCATTCCACGTGTAATTTTTCCAACAAAGATTCCGTACATTGGCGGTGACATGTTGATGACGTAACCCGCGTGAATGATACGCACGCGAATGTGCGACCCGTCTCTCATCACCCCACCCTGACTTAGGCCTGGGCAACAACTTTCGCGACGTGCGGGGTGCTACTGTGGAAAACGCAGAAGGATGGACTACCCTGGCCAGAGCGCCCGACGCCGGGTGGTTGTCTTTTCGGAGACCGGCTTTATCGGCAAAGCCGGGCGTGGGCAAATATTGGCAGCTCGAATATTGAACAACCAGGCTCTTGGGCTGGCTAGACCCCCGACAACACTTTTTGCAACAACAGCACGGTCTTGGACCCACAAGGTAATTTGAATGGCGTTGCGCCTGAGACCTTGCTGACCGTAGTGTTTAGCACGAAAGCGACTGAAAGAAGCATGGAGGAAACGGAAAAACCGAACGATTCTAGCAGATACGAGGAGAGGCGCTCCGTAACCATTTGGATAGTTCACTCCACCAGTTCACTCACCTGGAGGTAGGCTACACCGGTTTTTATATGGTGAATGGTGGAGCATATGTAGTGTGCGCTAGCCCCCAAAAGTAGCTGGCGTTTTTTGTTACAACCTCATCTATGGCCCCGTACGGGTGCCAGAGTGCAATGGGGGGCTTTTACTACGGCCAGGGCTGACGCGCAGCGAGCCAGAAAACGGAGAACGAAATGAGCGCAATATTCTACACTCAGTAGCATGAATAAAAGCACCTTCTCGGACGTGCAGCGGATTCGTAAAATCATAGTCTATTTTTGCAAAAGAGGGCGTCGGCGGCTCTACGGACGTCTGGGAAGGACGACGCTCGTAATTCGGTTTTTGCTTGCCAATGCCACGACTGCAGGCTTGCTCGTGCATTCTCGCTGAGACAGCTCTCTTCGAGAAGTAATAAGACATCAGTATGCAATCCTTGTTAAGCTCGAACGGCCTTGATGGAAGAGAGCAAATGTTGCCGGCCTGGTCAATCTGGGGAGAATCGGCCGGAGATTCTGCAGCCCGGAATGGTATCATCATGGCTCCCCAAAATAAAAGTCGACTGGCCCTTCCATCCTCCGACGGCAAGACGGCCTGGCCATTTCTCTAGGGTATTGTCACCATCGGGGCCCAGGGTGGACTCGCTAAGGAATCCAGGGCCATCACCGTTACGTGCTGATCCCCTACGGAGTGTAGCCACAGTCTGCGTTTCTGCGATTGATAAGTTTTTCAAAAATGCTGCAATATGGGTTCACTCATCAGGGCCCCTTCAAAGTGAAAAATGTTTCCTGCTGAAGCGCAGCCCACGCGAAGGGAACGTCTCCTTTATTAAAATTATGATTACATGACAACATTACAACAACACTGCGGCGGTTTTGCGACCTTGGCGAAGTTCCATACGAACCGGTAGCGATGAGACTACAGCGCTAGTAAGCTTCGTAACTTACAAGCAGTAGTAGGTGATGTTAGGGCGTCTGTCGCCGCGATCTTCGCTGTATCAGTAAAGATCTCCAGCGGCAAAACCCTATGTTCGTGAATACTGTCTTTCGTCTACCGAATGAACACTTCAGCTCCTTTCAACTAGCGGCACTGAGGACAGAGTGTACTTCCCGGACATGGTATAGATTCTTCTCGAACCTCTGAGATAATACCGTTAGGCCATCGAGGTAGATCAGGGCCATACGGTTTACCTGATACTCGATTTATCAACCGGCCGGGGCATTGGCCGACCCGAAATGCATTCGGTTGGATTGATCTAGACCCTCTGAAGTACAACCTACGGTTTACTCTCATGGGTGCCGTGGGTGTCTGCCAAGAGCCATTCGCCAGCTTCAAGGTAGGAAATACCTGAATTTCTCCTTTCCTTAGTGGGAAGACCGCAGAGGTCTATGGATTAGACAAGAAAGAGCTTGATCACGTTATCATGCAAACCCGTTGCGTTGATGCGACTCTCCGCGGATGTAGGTACAGGGGAGGATGGTCACCGATGGGTACAGTATAACTGACAAAGTTCGTTTCAGATCGTTTTCCCTGCTTCCCGACTAGAAGTCTGAACCCATCACGTAACAGTCTCATCCGGTGCTTCCGGTCGCACCGATTTAGGCTGTTTCCGGTATGTAATTTGAATGTTTTCGTTGATAAACGCAGGGGCATGTCGAAGACATCCGACCCAGCGAATGGTACGCGTGGGGTAACAAGAGGAACGTATCAAAGACTCCTGACCTAATAAATAGCGCACTTTGAGCTGACTTTCTCTTACTAGCCCACAAGTCTTAAGCTCAGCCTAGCCTGGTACCTTTCGTCGTTCAAGATTGGCAACGGAGACTTTACATGCTGCTTCCAGCTTAATAATTCCATGATATATGGGGTCACAAAAATTCTTGTAGTATATACGTACGCGATCCCATCTACCTGAACCGTGCATTTCGCTAACGTGACCGTGATGACTAGTCACTCTGACGACTTCGAAGATACCAAATGGCCTTCGTTGCCCAGAATGAAACGAGAACGGCTCAGCGCACACTATAATGTACCAATTGGTTCATATTTTGCTAGAACAAAGCCGTTTGTTAGGAACGGCCATCCAAGTTGGCAACGACTGTTGATACCATCATCTAGTTCCCCCTGATTTTCCGCCTGATTCACACCCTTGGCGACAGCTAGTAGTTGCTGTCCGGCGTCGACCTCAACAGCAAAGCTCAACAGCCCGCTTTCCAACCATGCATCGACAGAAGCCTGGCCGAGACGGCTCTTCCGCACGCCGTATCTTTGCGCCAACGTACATTAGCACTTAACCCGAAACTGGTTCCGTCCCAATACGCGTCGATACGACAGCGCGTGAGGCCAGACCGAACAGACCCATCATTGTTGGCTTTTCCTAGTTCCTGGTTCTGCGACGTATAATGCCGGGCGTCCTGGATCAAGGCACCATACAAGGTTGGATTAACCACCGCGACAAAGCTCGCAAACGAAATCGACTCCTCTTGTTTTTTTTTTATATTGAACGATCGTCGAACTCGTCCATCAGAGTTCATCTAACCTTGATGAACCCCTTGAACGTCTCCTCTCCCGTCCTCATCAGCTCGAAAGCCTTAAAATAGGCGACAATATCTAGCTCATAACATGCTAGTGCTACATAAATACACTCCCATGCGTCGCACCGTCTGGTGTCGTGAACACTGTCGATGCGTCCTTAAAGGTGCCACGCTCTCCAACACTAGCATTAAAATCCCGTCGAATCGATATACCTTTGAATTTTACCCCAGGCCGCTAAGTTTGCAACGAGCAAAGGTTCGATCGCAAAAGACTGATGGTTGATCGGCCGGCAAGAGGGTATTGTATATACGCGGCCGGCCGGAAGGAGGAACACATTTATTATATCTATATTATATGAAAAAATCTATATTTAACTCAATACAGCGCAATTTATTTATTTCTTTTTTTTTTAATAAAAATGTCCGTGTATCTAATATTCGGTTCATACATACCTACTATTCGAACCCTGCTATAAGATGTTCGCCTGTAGATAAGAATTTGTTTCTATCGGCGCTTTTGTTTTCCTGTTTATTATATAGTAGAGCTTATTCTGTAGGCTGCGTATATGGCCTGCATTTCACTGGCAAGGCCACCACACATCGCGCACAGGGCGCGCGTGCCATCGCTGGGCGCGCGTGCCATCGTAGGTTATGGCAGGCTGTGTACGGCAAACGAACATGGCCATCGTGGCAATCGGCTGAAGAGGGCCCGCCTCCCGAGGGAGAGGGCACAACGTGCCAAGGCGGGCTCAGAACGAGGCTATTCTGGCGAGTAGGCGCCTGCACACGTAACGTCGTCCATGCACGTACGCTGTCTGATCAGCAGCATCTAGACAGCAGCAACAACCGTAGACAGTTCTGACGGGTAAGATCGCGTGCCATTTCCTAGCATCAGTTAGAGTTTAGGAGTGATCGAACATAAAGCAAGCTTTCAGAGAATGAGTTCTACAATAGTGAACCATTGAATACTGTAGGGCTGTTGTCATCGAATAATAGCCCATGGTCATGCACAGGATGAGAGGACTCTGGGATGGTTCACCTTAATTATATTGCATTGCGTTTGCGAGCAGTATCGCGGACCAAACGGTTATTACTAAGATTATGTGACAGCATGGGAGCGGCGGGAAGAGTGTTGGAGCTTCGGACAATCGTCTTGCTTGCACTCTGTCCACACGGTGAGTCACTTGATTTTGCTGTTTGCTACAAGCGTGCCTACATCTATGGTATCGTATGTTGATGTTAAGTTAATTTGTGTTTATATATATGATTTACGCTAGGACTTTTTTTAGGTCAGAGCAATTTTTTAAGGTAAAAACGAGCTCGCTGCCATTTTAATTGAATAGTCGTTTCAACCGCTTTATGTTGCTTAGTTAGCTTAGAATTGATTATCCGACGAATTTCAGAATCACTGACAAACTGGAATGACTGGTGGACGTACGAAGGCATTTCAGGTAAGAAATCCCAGGAAGTTACTCTCTCTAGTAAAACCAATATTTAGTCACCGTCGAATTAGTCAGAATTATGTTAGTGATTAGAATGGATGATATCTGTATATTAAACCACGCTGGTTAACTCTCTAGGTCCGGATTTCTGGGGCAAACTGAACCCAGGACTGTGGGGCCTATGTAGCACAGGTCGACGACAGTCGCCAATTAACATCGAGCCACAGAGACTTCTATTCGATCCCCAACTGCAGGGCCTGCAGGTCGGCAAGGCTCGAGTGCGCGGAATCCTTCATAATACTGGACAAGGTGTCGTGTTTCGTTTGGACACTCTAGACGGTTCTTCTAGTGCCAATTTGGCCGTGCAGTCGGAGACCTCTGGTCACATGGTCGAACATATACAGCATCTGAGCGGAATCAAAAATGACATTGTTTCCTTGGTTAATATTAGCGGCGGGCCATTATCATATTCGTATCGAGTCTACGAAATTCAGCTTCATTTCGGAAGACATGACCATCAAGGCTCTGAACATCTCCTTGCAGGATTTGCTTTCCCGGCTGAGGTAAGCCTTAGTCTGAGACCTTCGATAGGGTTGTGTATTAGCTGAAACATTTAGGTACATAGAAACCTATCGGATGCTAAGAGTACACACTATCTCCTTTTTTCTCGAGTACTCGGTATATAGGGTACGTTGAACATCGCACAAAATGTTATAGCTTCCAATGTGTTTTGATTCTGATTCATTTTTATTAACAACAAACAAGTAATTTATATATTCTTTTTTTTTTTTTTTTTTTGGATAACCATATTAGTAACCTATACGATAGGGTCCTATATTCTCCCAATATATCAACTTATAGCTGTGATAGAGCACAGTCGCCAATGTAAACGGGATACTATTCACAAAAACTGAACAAAGAATATTATTTTGGTAGCAATTAAAATTCAAATATTGAACCCACTAAATTCTTCCCAAAAAAAAGAGTCTGCAAGAGAGGTTAGTGCTTTCGAAGATCGTACATTGCACGATAGAAACGTCGCATCCTCGAGGATCTTTGCGTTATCCCATAGCAAGGCTTGAATCGGATTTGTTGGTTCTTCGCCTGAGGCGCCTATGAAGGATTCGCGTAGAAAAGGTCCCCAATGTAATAGCTGACGACACGTTGGACATAGAAAACACCTCGACTCTTTATGGGCCGTAGCAGGTAGGTTTGCCGTGTAGTAGTACTACCCAGCGCGTGAAGCGCGAACACTTCGGCGTTCGGTCCTATAAGGTTCAGTCTGCCCAAAACTTTAGACCTATAAGCCGTACGAAGCATCATGCATCCGCTGCATGTGCTTAGTTCTTACGAAATTAAGGTACATTTCACCCTGATTGGAGCGTTGAACAACAAAGGTCCGTATATAGGCACATGAGAACATCTACGTCATTTGCGATGACGTGCTCTGAATTAACTGCGTACAACGCCTTCTTAGGAGAAGGTGTAACTCCTCACAGTTTTCTTTGGCTCACCTCGCCCAACGGCACAATTCTACCCGCTGCGCATTTGAAATGCGTTAGTTATCAAAGGAAGAATTTGGTGACCACACAAGTTCTCGCCGAACACCAGTGCCGTCTTATCTATGCGATATAATATCACTGGACTTTCTGCGACCTAGGACAAGGCCATCTATTCACCAATGAAACAACGAGATGAGTTTTCCGGCAAGACAATCTAGCAATTATTTCTAATTCATACAAAACGGTTATCGAAAATCTTGTTTTGTATGCAAACATCGAGCCGATCATTTGAATGAAGAAGCAATATTTTACGTTCAGCATTTGTACATCGGAAATAAATGACCTGATATAAATTGAAAATGCTGCACGAAAAAGCTTACCTTTTAGTATAATGTACGCATCTTTCAGGTTCAGATCTACGCGTACAATAGCGAGCTCTACATGAACACCTCAGATGCCCGAAGTCGAGCTTACGGAATAGCTGTCATATCAGTCTTTATCAAAGTGGCTAAACCGAAAGAGATATCGAGTAGAAGTGGCCAGGGCTCCCTGAAGGAGTCAAAATTATCAAAACCAAATCTGGAGCTGAAGATGCTCACAGATCAGTTACAGCATATCGTATTCAAAGGAGACAGCGTCCCTCTCAAAGCGTTGTCCATTCATGAGCTGCTTCCTCAAACATCAGCGTTGATCACATACGAAGGATCTCTAACGACGCCTGGCTGCGAGGAGACCGCCACTTGGATTTTGCTCAATCGCCCGTTGTACGTGTCGCCGCAACAGGTACCCGTAACGTTTCGGCAATTCAGCTTAGTCCAGTACTTACTAGATAGTGAATCTATATCTTCTTTTTTTTTTTTATTTAATAGCTTGACAATTTTTTTTTCACTGATCCGTTTTTAATCTTTTATCACGTCTATCTATCTGTCAATTTCACGAACTCTACTCTCGACTGTTAATAGGAGCATATTCATCTGCTATTGTGGTCCATTAGTGATTATTTTTATTGCATCTAATAAATCGGTTGGACACAATGGGCAAGTGTAAATATTACAAAATTTGCACGAAGTTTATTAGTTAGGTTATCAGTGGCGCAAAGGAGTCTCACGAGAAAAAAATACATAACTTGGAGGTAGATCAGCAACTATCTGGTCTAAAAACTACCTTTTTCTTCAGTGAATAAACTGTTTACCTTCCCTTTGTGTTCCGTCAGCTGGCAATAATGCGTAAACTTAAACAAGGTGAGCCAATAACACCAATGGCTCCTCTAGGAAACAACTTTCGTCCGCCGCAGCCTTTACATCAAAGAGAGATCAGAACCAATATTGACCTCTATCCGAATCGTGGTAACAGGAATCGAGAGAGTATAGCAAACTTTGACGATACCGATGATTCGGAAAACTCCGTAACAACTCACTGTCCTTCTATGCAAACGAAAAAGTTCTATCAAGGTAAGTTGTGTGCTTTATGCACTACTTAAGCATCAATAAGGTTATCGCATGTGTGATGTTTTGTGATGGATTTATTTTTCTTTTATATAATGGCAACAAAGACTGTGACCATTTTTCAGTGGAACGTTTTTTCGTACTATGACGATATTTTATCTGTGTCTCAATTCGTTTTCAGTATCATCAGAGCATCTGGCGATTAATCCGAACTTTGTGGACTCGCGATAAACAGTGGTCCATCGAACACCAAAGAGATAAACTTAACATATGTGTAAATCATAAACATGAATCCTTGAGTTTAAAATAAATAATCACAAATAGACTAATTATGAACTAAGCGGGTTACTTTTATTAAGTTAAGTGGTGATTTGTTCGAAGGAAACGTACACAAAATCCGATCGAGCAGAACAGCTGACTTGTGGCAATGACGAATAGAAAGTATTAATAAGGCTATCCTTCATTATTAGTATGACAACTACTATTTTTAGACCACCCTAGACCACACTTGAAAATGAAATGAAGAATCGTACTCTACGAGGGGTACACTTCTTCATGGAATCAGTGGTTTCAGGTCAGTGGCCGGTTAACGTCGCAGCCATACGCCACTGTCTTCTTGGCAGTACGATTTTTCGAAAGGAAAACCTGTGTTCGGTTTGTTACAAGTTCTTGATAACGATAAACTTTGCGATGCGACACATAGCTACTAAGTTTTTGCGAATTGATTTGACGTTTACTAATACGTATAATAAAGGCAATAGTACGGTAGTACTGAATAGTTTGGTAGGGAGATTGCTGAAGCTTAAAAGTTTCTCTATGCAGAATTTCATTTTACAAACCGATATAAACTTTGCTCCGCTGTTTTCGAAACTAATTCAATGGATAGATAATTTGTTAGGTTCTTTATTTGGATAGCCTGGTACCTACGAATTGTGATGAAGTATAACTTCTGAACTTTCTAATTTTCTAGCACTTTGACAATAGTAAGCAAGTCCTTTCAGCTGATCAGTTGTTTTGGAGAATCGTACAGATATTCCGCACTTATGCTATCATATAGCTTTCTATTCGTGCGACCGGTTTGTCCGAATATCCAAGTACTAGCCAATATTATATCGAGAACTCTTCAAACCTGCAAACAGAAATTACGTGACGTAAAATGAACGACTACAAGGGGAGACGCATTTCTACTTTGTGCTTGCTCCGTGTCCGCTAGCAGAGTTTTTTTTGTTTGTAACATGGACCGACCGTGTGCTACTCTGGGCGTGGACTTTTTGATGCACTTTAGCGGCTAACAGGAATACGCAGATTCTGAAGCGCGAAGAAGAAATGCTGAAAAGACCATGCGGGCTAAAGGTAAGCCGGCAGTGAAGGCCATTAGCTATAGACCATGTTGGGCGTAAAGTGTTTGAAACCGTTGTCACAAAATTACGAGAATCGACAGCCCAAGTAGGAGAAGATACACGTTCACTTATTTATTCGTGTGGAAATAAAGGATGCTTAAAAAGCGCGTGCGGCCCATAACGGTGGGAGAGCTAAGGTCGCTCACAGGAATCATTCACAAACCTAGAGGGCATTACGTACTGAAACCTAGCCTTTCTCAAATGTCATTGGGTTTTTCTATAAACTAAATTCTATTATTGTGTGATTTCAGTACGGCAGAATCTATAATAGTTAACATGCTAACGTACTCCAACCTGCGTAATCCCGTGCGCAATTTTTGCCCACCTCGCGGCCAGTCTATTTTGCTTTCACTTTTGATCGTCGTATGCTATTTCTTCCTCAGAATCCTCTCGCTGTCACGTGTTAGGTGCGTTGAAAACGCAAATGATAGAAGTAAGGGCAAACTTCTTATGTGACGTGTTCGCTAATGACGTCTTTCTACACACTAATTATCTGTGCCTTTGTCCGTCGTTGTTCCTGCTGTTTGTTGCCTGTACCCTCGTTGCGGCTGCATTTGGGAGTCGCGTAACCTGTAGGCGGCTGCGGAAGAATTAATCCCCTCACGAACCCCGCTCCTCGTTCTAGTGGAATTCGCTAGCATTACCTGGTCTCTCCGCACCTAGTTCTGTCGCTAGATTTTTTCCTTGCAGTTCGTAGCTTTACTAGCAGAAGCTTTAGGCATTTGCAGCTGACGTGCATAGTTCGTCTGCTCTATAATCCTAGCCCTAAATAATCTTGATTTGTTTCGGCGACATGGTGCTTGCGCTCTAAGACTGGCTACTTACTGGTACTGCCGGTAACGATGATAAGTATTATGACCGCGTAAACCCTCATCAGCGATTACCGCAATAATGTGGCCACCAACGATCGGGATATATGTTGCCAGTAACAACGTCAATGACAACAGCTGTAACGAGCCATGGCTCTGAATAGCGCTATGAACCCTTTGTCACGTTTACGCATTAGCTTCGAACAACGATGGAGTGTTATTTCATCGAAAAAGAGCAACTTTTAAGTGAGAAAGAGCTGAGAACCGAGTATCAAGACACAGCTAAAGAAGCTCACTTTAACCGGTATCCAATGCAGTAGATTGTATACAGTGTTTGTGTGTAAGACATTTCCGATGCGTGCATCGATTCGCCTTTAGATGTCCGCGTATACGTTTCAAATGAGCTTCCTATTCATAAACTAGTCCTATCCATAAACGTTAGCAGTGAAGGTGGGCACGATACGCTCGTACGTTTCACTCACAGCATGCGGATTCATTGTATAAACAGTATGTTCCACGTGAAAACGTTACCTTTGACCATTATGAACCAGATGGAGTTGTCAAAGTCCTCTTGTTTGAGTAACGACGGCAACTCACACTACTATTCACGCCCTTCTATTAGACCCCAGGATTTCCCGGTCAGCAACGAGTGTGCATCACCCGATGCGCTATTTACTCGATTTAATTTAGCTTCATTCTTTTGGCCAGGCCATTTGTCAGTGGCGACGTCTTCGAAACGGACTTGCAACCTGCGATATAGAAAAACTAGTTTTGACCGTTCTCACAGTTAGACGATACGACAATAAGCTTAAGTTGCTATAGACGACAAGTAAAAGATTGTAACCGCTCTCACTTGTATAGTCTCGCTTCGGTACTTTTCTCATTCGAACTTGAGTTTATATTCATCGACTTGGGAACTGGTATCTGTCTAGAAGTTCGATTACATATACTCGAACAAGGAACTTCGAGCGAGATACAATCAATTTTCGGTCAAGTGTCGTTAGCTCGTGTGGAGATATAACAAAAAATAAGTTGTACTCATTGGGGTCGCTCTGAGCTGGCGTTGTCGTCGATGGCGGAAGTCTTCAGTAGTTGTTCCAGCGTTTATATCAAAAGGACTGCTCAAAGCTATTACGTTCTGTTTTCGTCTGTAATGTTAGAATTTCCCCGTTTATCTCGGGGGTCTTTGTACAAATGAAACAGTTTCGGGCGCATTGAAGAGATCGCTTAATGAAGAAAGGTGCGTTCAACAGTCTCAGTACTAATAGGAACAGAAAGTGTACATATAGGAATAACGAAGAAAGTAAATGATTTAATTTCGGCTTTTAGAGCTCATTATAAAGAACTTTGTCTGAAACTCATTTTTCATATGCCAAATACACAGTTGTTTGCTAGCGTAATAACACAAGATTCTCGTTGAAGAAGGATCAATAAATGTAATCGTAAGCAGAAATTGAGCTTCGCTTTGAGTTTGGTTCAACAACTTATTTCCCGAGGGAAATTTTCAATTGAAGCGGCAAAAGATTCGTCGCCGCTCGCCGAGCTCCTTCTTGCTTGCCCCAGCCAATGGTTGATTCGTACTGAGGGAACATGACTTTGACATTACTTACCAAATCACAACGAGCAGTTTTTAAGTAAACACGAGCGTAACAATGGAGCGTCACTAAAAAAAATACTTTTTTTACGTATATACATGAGAAAAGTGTTAAATTCTTTTTTCAACCAATGTAAAATTTCTATGGTATCATACATTTCCGTTCAGTACAACATTTAGTATTTTGCTATATTTAAATATACAGTTTTAACCCTTCCTAGTAACGTGGTAAATTATACAAACTGGACAAACAAATGGACAATATACAAATTAGCCAAAGCCGTTGCATTGAAAAACATCATCGAAGCCTGAAACTTTAATCGGCAGTGTAAAATCAGAAAGAAAGTTTACTTTTAGCTATTCACGTTCGGAAGATAGATAGGAAAGGAAATAGATGAATCCTATCGTAATCGACTGCCGATATATATATATATATATATATATAATAACGGGCAATATGTCTATCTATCTATCGCTGTTACAAACGAGTCCAGCGGGCTTCAAAGTTATTTTTATTGTCCATATTTTATAGAGGGAAACTGGTGGGCAAACATACCGTACTATCTATTTACGTCCAAGAATGCATAACTCTCTCATAACTGAAATCAGACTAGTCTATACAAAGACAAAATATGTTTGTATAAACTAAGTTAAAAAACTTCGGTAACTACAGCTAGAAGTTTGCCCTGTTTCGATCATCTGTATTAACGGCCTGCTAGGCCCTTTACCGCTTATGGCTGCTACTTTGCCGGGACGACCTCGTCTGCTTTGCCAGCTTTCTGTTCGCAACGAAGCGGTGACTCAAGGATGTCTCATTCCATATATAATGTGTGTTATTTCTGTTCTTGCACCTCTAAGTCAACCGAGCATTGTTTAGCCAGCACAAAAAGAAGAAACATTTCCACAGAGCTCCACTCTGAGCAAATAAACTAACCAGGTATTACGGTGTTCGTTAATGAAAAAATCGATAGCAACCATCTGCACGAAGTCTAGCCGGTCCTACGACATTCCCGGGAGACTGACAAAAGAATGTATTTGAGTTTCTTTTTTTGCTCTATTTTCATATCTATGTAGATTCTTAAGGACTCTCAGCTAATCAACAGCTTAGCTCTGTTCTATATTTACATTTTCGGACAAATTACATTCTACGTTAATACACAAATTTTTCTATTATCAAATTATTTTGATCACTACAAAACAACTAAGCTGTTTCTAGTGTTACCGTAGTAATGACCTTTACTATGTCTGGCTGCCCAAAAACAAGGCATGGAATATATGCCGTAATAAACAATTGCCGCTTGGAACATTCCCGTCAGGCGGAACTTTGGGGACGGATCGATTTCTTTAGGAGAGGCACTAAGGGAGTGATACGGCAACGACGGATGGTGATGGTTTGATTTATGGCTCATCATTTGGCTCGTTATACGTGGGCTTTTCTGAGTGGGTGATATCTCTAAGTACGATACTCGTCATCATTGTGTACGCCGCCAAACAGCTTAGGCCT